ATTTTTCAGAAGTGCTTAACTTGTTTTGTTGCATTCCCAACAATTTGCTATTAATTACTTCTCCCACTTTACTTATATAAATCATCACATTCTTACCGCGACTTTTAACTTCTCCCTCACAAATGGATCCACCTGCAGATCATCAAAACCCCATAGATGACCTCGATTGGTTTCAGTACTTTGATCATCAAGATCTTTTCAGGTATATATAAACGTCACTCATTACACCATCTTACGCACAGAAAAGTGATTTTGTCGACATTGATCAAAACATGGTTTGGATTTGTAGTGATCAAAAAGAGTCTTTCATCGTGTTGGATTTGATTATCTTGAGTTTTTTTTTGGATTTTTGTAGTGGTGACATGCTCAACCATCATGATTACGAGTTGTCGGAAAAATTGCATGAAGTGCTCGATCAGAACGTTTCCACAGTACTTAACAAAGATCAAAACATCATTTCTAGAAATGAGTTTCACGATCTTGATCCCCTTAAAGATATAAGCTTATGGGATTGTTGGGAGGATGGTAATTTACCATTGGTTAGTTTCAGTGAAGACTGTAAATCCGGTGGTGAGGCTACATGTAGTTCTAGTGCTGCCACCACTGATCACGGTGGCCGGAAGGTGGCAAAGAGATTGAGACCATTGGAGTTTGAAGAGATAGAGAAGTACTTTGAGATGCCGATAATCATAGCAGCAAAGGAACTAGGGATAAGTTTAACAGTGTTGAAGAAAAGATGCAGAGAGCTAAACATAAACAGATGGCCTCATAGAAAACTTAAGAGCCTTCAATCCCTCATTGAAAATGCCAAGGTAAATTATGATAATAACCTTCTATACATTACTCATGCACTTGGTAACCAAAGTAGTTTTGGTATTTTCTAAAATTTTAATTGTTAGTTTCTTTATAACTAAACATAGGTCCTAGGCATATGCCACATCAAATCAATTGAGTTACTACGATTTCCTGATTTATATTTATATAAACTTAACTCATTGTAAATTTTGTGAACTCACATGAAAAATATATTGCATCTACCTTTTAAAAAAAATTAGGAGTTGGGATTAAAGGAGGAGATAGAGACGTTAGAAGGGCACAAGAAGATGATGGAGAAATTGTCAGGTATGGAATTGACAGAAAGAACAAAGAAGCTTAGGCAAGCTTGCTTCAAAGCTATTTATAAGAAGAGAAGACTTAACAATCCTTAGCCATTTTGTTATAATTAGTGGATTTTAATCTACATTGTATGTGTTTTTCTCTTGATAGTTTGATACCCTTTTTAGTTTCATTTTATGTATTTGTCTATTGATTTTTTAATGCAGAAAATTTTGTATAATTTGGGTATTATAGTTTGTATTATGTATTTAGCCATATTCTAGATTGCCGACACGACTACGCCGACGACTCTATACCAGAGGTCTATATAAATAGACTTATGAATTTAGTAGGAATAACTTGATTATAATCTTGTGATTTGTTCCATGTCTGATCCACCCCTAAGATTCACTTGACATGCCCCCAGTGATGTGTAATTAAAATTTTATTAGACTGTTGATCCTAATGAGTCTACCCCGTTATAGTTTGTGATTAATTTGAGTGTCCGGATTCATAACGCAAGGTTCGTAAACCCCGTTAAACCGTGTTTTAGTGTCGTACACACTCCCGATGAGTGTGCAATAATGTTTTATCGTTTTGGTTCGTTGTTTAGCACTGTTAAGGCTAAGGAAAATCAAACACATGAACTTTCCAAATGATGATTTCTCATTAAAATAGCGAATTGTATAGTGATTACATAACGTAAACCCTAACATACAAGGGTTATTGGAGTTGACCGGTTTGACTTGTTGACTTTGTTTGACTTTGACTTGACCGAAATTTGACGGTTGTCACAATTTAACTCTGATATAAACTGTAAAAATCATATCTTTACGATTCCAAGCTTGTGAGAAGTATTGGATATTGCTGAGAATTTTACACAAATCTTAAAGTTGTTTTTCTGATTTAATTAAGAGTTTGTTTAATTGAACAGTAAAAAAGTTAGGGTTAATTCAAAGAGCTTGTTTTGGTTACCTAATTTAGGTAAAAGAGATTATACTAGAGATTGTTAGTTTTTCTCTGTATCAGCTTAGATAGAATGCATTATGAATAACAAGATCTGAACTGATTGCATGATTAGGAAAGTCGTAGTAGAACTGATATCGATTTTATTATTAATTTTCGTTTAATTTATTTTCACTGCAACTTTTAGTTTTTAGTTTAATTCAAAAACCCCAATTTCTTAATTTCTGTTTTATTGATTAGAATGTGTCTGATGCAAAAAGACATTGACCGTTAGCCTGTGTCCTTGAGGATTCGACTCTGCTTCCCTGTGTCATATTATTAGTGCAAGCAGCAGTGAAATTTTATTTGGTTAATACGCCCGCGACAACATGTTAACAATGTTACCGTGATTCCATAAATGTAAACTTCGTAAAAATCCGACTTATTATGAAAGAGTCATAATTTTTATAGTAAATAAAAGTCAACCGTAAGAAATTACAACATCAAAAACTACGTGGAGAACGGTTGATCTTTAGCAAAAGTCATAAAAAGAAGAAACGTAGCACTCTTCAAAGTAGGATATTTGAGACAAAGAACGCCTAGGACGGAACCTGCATGAGAGAGTTATGATTTTTATAAAATCATAATGGTAATGAAAACTAGTTGAAAAATGAAAGTTAGAAATTTTTCCAAAACGACCAAAAGAAAAGTTGTATTATACGACGAAACCTACACAGATTTATAAGAGTCGTTGAAAACGGAGTTCGTATGCGAGACTTACATAATTTCAAAGTTTTATTTTCACCGTCACGTGCGCCCGCGCACAACCTACACTCGATCCGTCTGGATTCGGGGTAACATGGCACGAGGAGAGGATGACACGTTGTATCCCCCTTTGGCTCACGCGCAAATACATGACACACACTGTGAGACGTGAACCCCAAAACTGGCTATAAATAGCAAGCTTCAACAGTCTCGTTCCCTTGAAACTCAAACATCATCTCTCATTCTCTCGATCTGCGTGTCACTGCCCCCAAGCGCCTCTCAAAGTTTCGGACTTCCGTTTTCCACCCTACAACAACGTTATCACATTTCATAAGTGAGTTCACAACCCCATTTTCTAAACCTTTTATGGGTTAAAATACAAATATTTCATAGTTATTACTAATTGTATAATATTAGTTAGATAATTATGCTCATAATATTAAGATGATATTATGTCCGGTTAATATTATGCCTAGTTGTTATACTGATTCACACTGATATAAATATCATATCTAGTTGTTACGCTGGCCAGTTGCCAGGAAACAACGATACTCTAGTCGTTATTATAGCCGCCCTTTGGATAAGATTAGTACCTTGTGGTTACTCTTCCCAAATACTCGGCTACGCAAAACATACTAACTTCATTATATATATGTATAAGATGAATAATGTATATAATAAGTATCTTGTATAAATACAATAAAGACTAACAACACGATCGACCAATGGAGGCCCACACCAACAAGTTGTTAGATGAGACACATTCATCTCCTAGTTGAAGGACTTTCAACTAGCCCCCAGCCTATAATCGTTAATTCTTAAGTGAAAGGGGAATATATGTATAGATCTATATGAGATTGACACTCCCACATGTGGTTGCTAGCTACAACCTGACGACAAGTCGAAGCAAGCATAACTTTCTAAACACATTTGCGACGTCCGATGAAGCGTCATGGTTTTCCGGGTGAACACTCAACAATCATAGCTAGATTATAGGAACTCATCCTAACATTGTTAAACAAAACTAACTATCTTAGACTACTACTAGGGAAGAACCTAAGAAAGTTGCGATAGTACACACAAACTCGAGGAAACAAGTTTAGGATAACCAAAATAACAAAATCAACCATAAAACATTTTATAATAATATAACCTATGGACTCACCAACGCTATGTTGACCTTTCAAAACCACGTGTATTCTCATAAGAATGAGCCCGAGTGAAGAGGGAAGTAACCCCGGTGATACAACTCAAAGTATACGTGCTTTACTATTGTACTTTGCTTTTGTGACCTATATGTACCTCGACAACTTTGTAATATATTTTATTTAATGACTAAAAAGTGACGTTGTTTGATATATCAGTGTATTATTCAATGTATGTTTGTGGCCTGAAAATCCCACATTCTAATGTCGCACTGTCCGACGTTTCTACCGTCGTCCGGAGGTGTAACATTGTTCGATTCGATACCAATGATACTTTTGCTAACCCCTGGTTAAAATAACAATAAATTGCCTTTAGAGGCACACAACACCAAATTTTTCCCAAACGTATCGATTGTCAACAAAATCAAAGTCGTATTAAAGTTTAAACAGATCCAAACCAGTTTCTAAGCAAAACTATCTTAACATATATCAACATGTTAGGATTGGTTTAAAACTGGTTTGAATGACTGACTTCAAAACCGGTTTGGAAATACCTATATTTTTGCTAGTTTTCTGTATTTTGCCAAACTTTTTGTTGAATGTCGTAATTGAACGGATTTTTCATCGATTATGAGAAACAAAACCAATAAGCAAAGCTCGTGACTTTGCCATGATGTAAGGTGTTTTTCAAGCACCTGACATGGTATAAAGGTTTAAAATGATAAATTTCAACTTTTAATTTTAAAAAAATGTCATTTGGGTATCCGTAATAGTACAAAGGATGAAAACCGGTCTCGAAAAATCTCAAAATTTTTGTATCAACCAAACCGGTTCCTAAATCAATGAAGTGTATGATCTCATGTTTCAAAATCACGATCAATTCCTTCTTCAAAATCGATTTTACAAACCGATTTTTGGATTGAGTCATAAACGGATTTTTTTTTTTCACCTCTAATTTCATTGGTGTGGATCCATATTTTGATCCCATTCACTATGGGCTACACCGCTACCCCTTAAAAGTTCAAAGCCCAATTTACAGGCAGAGAGAGACGCAAAGTAATGACTAATGACTAAGAAAAGTGGAGGGAATGATTCCACTCGGCACCGTTTATTCCCCGGGGATCTCGATTTCCATGTACAATTGACTCGTTGCCCGAACTTCTCCGACGAGTTACTTGACTACAACTGCACTCAGTATCTCCGACAGTTGGATTTTCCTGTATCATACAACGATATCGACATCGTAATTAGGTCTTGTGTAAAAGTAAAACCATGAATAACTCGGAGCAGAAGGTGGTGGCTGTGATCATGGTCGGTGGTCCGACGAAAGGTCCGATTGACATTCCTTTGTTTTCTATCGTCGAATTTGCGTTCAATTTTTTTAATTTTCGTTCACCGTGTTGGAATCCGCAGGTACTCGATTTCGGCCACTTTCGTTTAATACTCCGAAACCTCTTTTCCCTCTAGCCGGTCAGCCGATGGTTCATCACCCTATTTCTGCTTGTAAATCGGTATTGTCATTTCCTTCCATCAATTTTTTTTAAGCTTTTCTTACGTTCAACGTCATGCTACATTAAATTGAAATTGAAGGAAGATGTAGTCAAATTAATTGAATTTTTAATTTTCGTGTATTTGTAAACCCTAATTTGAGTTGACGATGCTGATTTTATACAATGTAGATCCCTAATTTGGCACAAATATTCCTCATTGGATTTCACGAGGAAAGGGAATTTGCATTATATGTGTCATCAATCTCCAGTGAACTTAAAATCCCAGTCAGGTAATTAGCTGATTGTATTGAGTATTGACGTTTCTTTTTTTCTTTTTTCTTTCAAGATATTTTAATCCATATGTTGATCTTCAAACTACATCATTGTCCAGATACTTAAAAGAAGACAAACCTCATGGTTCAGCTGGTGGTCTTCATTACTTTAAAGATCTCATCATGGAGGATACCCCTGTACATGATTTGCCCTAATCCCCCACATTTCTAAACTTATTGTGGTCTTTTTGTTTCTTTTGTTCATCTTTCTGATACTTGTATTCTATGTGTTACAGTCACATATCTTTTTGTTAAACTGTGATGTCTGCTGCAGCTTTCCTCTACCAGAAATGCTTGGTTAGCTATCAACCTATCATATATGATATGACTTCTTTAAATGATTTAATTTATGTCAATAAATGATGTAATTGTGTGATCTATTGCAGATGCCCATAGGAGATATGGTGGGATGGGGACATTGTTAGTTATAAAGGTTGAGTTTTTTATGCAGTAAAATCTTCTACCCTGAGTCTTGATAAAAGCTCCAAATTTAAGATTGAACTTGCTGTTGCAATATGCAGGTTTCTGCCGAGTCTGCTAGCGAGTTTGGTGAGTTAGTTGCTGACTCAGTTACAAAAGAACTTTTGCATTACACAGAGAAACCCGAAACTTTTGTAAGAAAACTCTTAGTAAAAATCAATTACTGTTGTAAAGTTTGGTTTATTATAAAGTTATTCAATTGCTTTTATGTCTTTGTGGCATTTCTTAATAGTTCTTTTTTTGTGGATTGCAGGTGAGTGATTTAATAAACTGTGGTGTTTATGTTTTCACCCCAGAAATATTTAAAGTTATTCATGACATACGTACACAACATGAAGACAGAGGTTAGTTTGTCACACACTATCTTTTTAGAAAAAAGTTCCAAGTAATATATTTTAGCTCAAAGTAAAGTTTCAAGATTATATAAAAGTCAAGAACATTAATACTATCACTGTGACTTTATTTAGAATTACATCACATTTAATTTGGAAAGTTTATCCATTTTTAATAATGCCATCCAAATGCAAAGCATGTTTTCACTGCTATAATTGGGTGAAATTTTAAAATATAACGTCCTAATAAGAAAGAAATTTTGAAAGTAAAATGCTTTAGATGGCATATTTTTCATAATATAATAAAATATTAAGATTTTTTTTAAACAAAAAAGTAAAAGTATGTTGCTATTTCTGAATTTTTTTTCTCATTGCAGCAAATCTCCACACCCTATCCAGCTATGATGCTCTTCGGTTGGCAACAAAGTAAGATCTTTTATTTATTTAATTTTAAATAGGATATTGTATTATATACACTTTCAAATTCAATATAAATTTAATTTCTTTTAACAGGACACCTACTAAGGATTTTGTTAGATTGGATCAAGATATATTGTCACCACTTGCTGGAAAGAAGCAGTTATACACTTATGAAACAATGGATTTCTGGGAACAGATTAAAACACCAGCGTATGTCTTTATATTTTTTATAAAATTTATATTTTTCTTATCTGACAATTTTAATTTTTAGGATGTCTTTAAAATGCTCGGCTTTATATCTTGCCCAATTCCGATTCAATTCTCCTGGTCTTTTGGCTTGTGGGGATGGAATCAAGAATCCAACGGTTGTTGGTGATGTTTATATCCATCCATCAGCAAAAGTACATCCAACTGCAAAGGTCAATTTTTTTATCATATTATTTACAATTTTTTATTGGAGTCCATTTTTGTTTACTTTTTTTTTTATTGAATAGATTGGTCCGAATGTTTCGATTTCTGCAAATGTTCGAATTGCTGCTGGTGTAAGGCTCATTAGTTGCATCATTTTAGATGATGCTGAGATACAGGTACAAAGATGATCCCTTTGACTCAGACATGACATGACATGACATGACAACTGTGTTTGACATACATTGGACTTGAACTGATACTACTGATGTTGATGGGACAAAAATTACAGCCTTTTGTCCGACCTAAAAAGGTGGGAACAAGATGGGACAAAGACTCCCTCTCATTGTCTCGTATGTGCAAAAGACATAAATGTCCTCCTCATCTGCATCATCAAAATTAGCCCTAAAAGCTTGTCGAGTCCCGTCCCGTCATCTACGTTTTACAAATGCAGCCTTGGGCTGCATTTGTTACACGGGACGGGACTGAATGAGCTTTCTAGAGCTATTTTCGATGATGCGGATGAGGAGGGCATTTACGTCTTTTACACATACGAGACAATGAGAGGGAGTCTTTGTCCCATCTTGTTCCCACCTTTTTAGGTCGGACAAAAGGCTGTAATTTTTGTCCCATCAACATCAGTAGTATCAGTTCAAGTCCAATGCATGCAAAACACAGTACAACCTATTCTGTCATGTCAGAAAATGTTACCAACTTATTAAATTTTTTTTTGCTTTTTGTGTGGAAAGGAAAATGCATTTGTAATGTATGCAATTGTCGGTTGGAAGTCATCGTTAGGAAAATGGGCACGCGTCCAGGCAAGTTGATTTATTTATTTTTTAATTTAGTTTTTGTATTGCAACTTATATTGATTAATAAAGTTGTTGTATTGTTAAAGGGTGAAGGAGATTACAAAAGGAAATTGGGAATCACGATCCTTGGAGAAGCAGTGACGGTTGAGGATGAGGTTGTTGTGGTTAATAGCATCGTACTTCCAAATAAAGTTCTTAATATAAGCGTGCAGGAGGAAATCATTCTGTAGAGAAGTTCACATGGGAAGAGTAAAAATGAAGTAGACTTCTTCCATAAGCTTGTTGTAATGTTTTATGATTTATCATTCGTTGTTTGGTTTTGTCTTTTCTGTAAGATTTTATGATTACAAGGTTATAAATACAATAGTAGATAGAGAGTGGCGAAATAGGGTGGGGTGAAACAAGTAAAGGCTTTAAGGCTACACCGCATGATTATGCAAAGACAGAGGACAGAGAGAATAGAATGATTGATCGATAGAGTTTGTTAGTGATAAATTTGATGAGATGATATGTTGTTTGAACCCATTCGATATCTATATTTATATACATTGTTGTATTTAAAGCTAAAGTATCAAGATTTTCAAAGAAGCTCGTTTAATGATATGTCTCACTTGGTTGGTTCAAGGGACACATATTTGAGGTTTTATATGAACATGTTTAGCAACGACTCTATTATTAAATTAAACGGCCTAGGAGTACAAGTGTCACTAAACTACTATTATGGACAACCAATGCGATAATACAAACTTTTGTATATCGGGTATATGGTTATCAAAAGTGGGAGGGTGAGTTTTTCCATGTGGCCACCTTCAACCTCATCACCATGTCAACCATGCCCCTCCACTATTAGAGAGATAGAGAGCCATGGTTCCAATTATGATGACGCCGACCGCGCAACCATTGAGGTGGTATTCACGCAAATGACACCCACCAAGTTCTTGATGACACACATTAGCCTAATCGGCAAAAATTAAAGATGTAATTTTTATTCATTTGGAAATGTTAGACAAAAATAGTTCTAAGCATTTGAAATGTATAAAATGACATAAAATATAAAAGACTAAAAACTAAGGGTGTGTTTGATTGTAGATATTTTTTTCTAAAAATATAAAAAGATAGAAAACATGTTTCGATTAATACTTTCTCCAAAAAGTTTATAAGAAAAGAGAATTTTCAAATTTCTAAATTTCACATAACTTGGAAAAGTGATAGTGTGAATCCCAGGGCATTCACCATCCCTTCCAATCATAGAAGTACTTTACTTAGAAAAAAAAATTCAAATTCCAAGTAAGGATAGTGACTTTCTCCTGTAATGAATAGAAAATGCCCGAGATCTATGAAAGGAGAGCTTAAGCGGAAATGAAAAGAAAATGCAGGAAGCAACTAAATTGAAGGATTCGCTTCCACATCGCTTCGTGAGCTTATTTAGTAGAAAACGAATGTACGCCCCTTTAGAGAAGAGATATGCGCGAGTACTACACGGGTAATAACCCACATTTTACAAAAACCGGTCGCACATAACATTTGATTAAAACATTGGGTGTTACCATTAAACATCATACAAACCATAGCAAGCAAATAAGAATTACATCAATAAAATACATAAGGAACTTAACAAGTTCCACTCCATTCTCTATCTGATAACTTCTACTTCCACCTATCATCTTTCTCCGTGAATATAACCTGGGATACATGGGATTAAAAAGAGATACGTAAGACAAAAATGTTTCGTGAGTTACATGGGTTCGTGATCCAAAACATTTCAAGCATTTATATGAAAAATCATTTCATCTATAACATAACATAGTTTTAGACCATAAAACATTTTCAAGGTAAACTCTTTTCATACAAATCAAAAATATCATTTCATATCTTATCATTTCATATCTTACCATTTCATGTCTTATCATATCATTTCATTTAATCCTTTTACATTTCCATTTCCATTTCTAAGATCAAGGTGGAAAGAACAAATCAATCCACTAAGGCATCATGCTTTCAAAGGCCAAGGTGAAAAGAACAATATCAATTAACCAATGTATCATTCTCTTGGATTTATTTCCAATTCCAATGTCGAGGTGGAAAGAACAAATCGATCCACCAAGGTATCATGCTGATCAGGTTACCTACTTTGCGAAGGAAAGGTACCAACCCAGTAGATTCCTCTAGTGCCTCTTATGAGGTATCATGACCGGGTCAGTTTTCATTATTTCTTTACTTTCTTTCCTTTTTTATTACTTTTCATTACTTTCCATTTCTTGTCATTACTTTCCATGCTTTACACATTTCATATGTTAGTATTAAAATACTCATTTAAAAAATTAAAGCATCTATATTTCAAAACATTTCAAATACGTTGTCAAAACATCCATTCTTCCAAAATGTTCTTTGCTTTCAAAAACATTCTTTCCTTCAAGGAATTCTCTCAAAACATTCTTTCCAAAAACATTTAACACTTTCTTTTCAAAACATTTCATATATCAAATCATTTTCATTATAATAAAAATCATTGTGCCATGTGCCCCAAAGTAGGAAAATGCCAACATGTACTCATATCAATCACGCGAAGGTTAGCTAGTCCTTTTCTAGTTTCTTTCCATAGAACAATACTCTTCAAATACTACCTACACCATATATGGACATAAGTCATTAAAATGACCAATATACCCCTTAATGGTTCCATTACTAAATTTTATTGCTTTAAACTATTCCTCATGAAAAATTATGAATGTAGGCGAAACCGTGAGTAAATTTGAGTCTGTATCCAAAAGTTATGAAGAAAACAAGCATCTCACAGTCAGAGACTTCCAAGGCCGTGGAAATTAAGGCATGCATTTCCACGGGCCGTGTTTTCATGTCTGGACACACCCAAAACTCCATTTTTCTCAAAATAACATTCTACTTTACATAGTTCTTAAATACCCTTTTCCAAATCACTTTTTACCATTTATTTAGGTTCTCACACATAATTAGAAGGTGTTTTATCATCCAAGCACACCCCACTTAATCCATTAAGTTCTCATTGAAACCATTTAAGAACATATTGGTTCTCAAATTCCATAAGAAAGGTTAAGTATCCAATTGTTCAATTGAGCATTCCAAAACTCATAAGGTTTATTCCCAACTTATTGAATACTCATATGTAAGTTGTCAAGCATATAAAACCACCATTAATCTTATTGTAAATGCCCAATCTAACTATGGAATCCTCAATTCCATTTTGTGTTCCAAAATTGCCCTTGGGCCATAACTATCACTATCACTAGAGCTTTGCTAACATTTCTTCATTTTTATGTTTCACTATCACCTTTGGAGTGTCAATTCATGTTCATGAATGTCATTCGCTTCTTAGATGTCAATCATTACGTGGTTATCAAGAGATTTCCCAAAATGCCCTTATGGCCAATAATTTCATGTATCCATCAAAGAATCAAGTAACACCTTATATTTTGAATGCAATTCATTCTAGGAGTATCCATTCATGATTATAAACTTCCTTTACTCATCAAATGCTCAACTAAGAAGGATTCTATTAATTTCATCATATTGTCCCCAAATCCATTTAAATCCAAGCTTACATTTACACCATCAATTGCAATATCCCCAATTTGGGTTTTCTAGGGTTCATGGAGCTTTTTACCCAAATCATCAAATCCATCAATGGGATGCTTGGATTAAGATTAGAACCATGGAAACCACTCAAGGGAGGTTAGAAAACCAAACCCTAATAATTGTATCTCATCAATTTCAACATTGGAGTTTTACCCATTTCACAAACTCGATTTCTAGGTAGAAAGGGAGAGAAATTATACCTTGCAACACTTGATTTCTTCACAACTTGCATCACTTAAACCAAGAAAACTTGAGATAGAATCCTAGGAGCAAAGAAAGATGAAAATTGCCATTGGAGAGGGTTTATAGAGCTCAAAATCGTTCTTCCTCCATAAGGGAAGAGTGGGTGCATCTTATTTCCCTCATTTTCACATTTGGTCCCTCAAGTTTGCCCATTTTGGCCAAAACTCACCAAACCTCAATATTTGTGTTTTTAATTTAAGTATTGACATAATAAATCCTCCTCCATCCATTATATAACCTTTTTAGTCTTTTCCACTAACTGAGTCAACCATTTGGTCAACTCACATTTCAAATTTCACCCTTTTGGTCCTTTAACTTTTAAATGTTATTATTTTCACTTCTAAACTTCCAAACTTCATATCAACTAATGATATGATTATCCCTTGATGATTTAACCATATAAATCATTTTCCATTTATTTACTTTATTAATTTAAGAACCCAGTCTTAAATTTCAAGATGTTACACTGAACAACACTATCCCAAATTCTAGACTCCCAATAACCAAGGAAATCTTCCAATCTCGAGCCGAACTTGACGATAGGTTGATGAATCCATTGAACTTCAACTGATACAACTCAAAACTTCCAAAGAATTTTCGCTTTGATGATAAACGAAATGACAAATTATCGAGAATGCATAGACATCTAATCTAATGAACGAATACACGAACCCATGAAGAGTTGAACATACCCATCTCTGAAACTGATTTACCGATCGACTAATGCCCAATCTAGACTATAAATAGAAATCCATACAACGAGCTGTCAAATCCCTCAACAACCGATACTCAACCTGAACATTCCTAGCATCTCACCAGTGGCTACCATAAACTCCTTGACTAACTACTTCCTGCTACGAGACAACTCGTGTATTTCCTGAACACATACATCTGATAGCCACTTGCTCTACACCTATGAGTTGACCAAATCTTGAATCGAAGTCTCGTATACCCGCACCGCATATCCCTATGAACCATTCTTCTGACACCACAAATTTGAACAGATCAATGATCCTCCAAGCATATTACCTAGTTCTCCCCTACTTAGGGTTCGAACTACCACCCACTGGTGTTGCAAACAAAACCATATCTCAAACCGGCTCAACCAGGTACAAACCATCCCTGACTCTTGGAATGTATAACACACACAATATGATCTTCCAGATAAGGACGGAGAAAAACCTAAAAGATTCTGAATCTTGGATGAAAGCCTCAGAAATTTCCAATCATAACCACTTCTAACATTAAGAACCCCGCACAGATGTACAAGCAATAATTCTGACAGTCTATTCATATCACCGATTTTCTATCTCAAAACAAATGGATTACCACTTACCTCATCCACAATTCCCAAACCATCAATCCGGTACTGGACTTGCCTACATCCAAAGAAAACAGACCCTTGATCACATATTAAGAAAACCAATCCACAAAAATCCTCTTGTGCATTCCCGCACTGCCATACTGCCGTCAAAAAACGCAGTCATATAGCCCCATGTTGGGTCTACATCCCAACTCTGAAAAATACATGTCTTCTCTCTCTCTCTCTCTCTCTCTCTCTCTCTCTCTCCCCTCTGAACACAAAAGGGTGGAAGAACAAGCACATGCCGAAGGTAGTGTTATTCCAATCCATCTACCAATCACTCAACCTCTAGCTACAATCCTCTAG